CCGCGGGGAGCGGCGCGGGACGGCGCAGAGACGCGGAGAGCCCGGGCCCGACGCGCAGCTCGCCCGGCAGCCGGGGAGGGCCGGGGGGCCAAGTTCTCGGGGCGGGGTCGCCGGGGCTCCCCTCTCCCCGGCCGGGACGCCTGTCAGCCGGATTGCACCGTGGGATGTAGCACCCGTTGGCCACCTCCAGGACACCCGTCGGACCCTCCGCCCCGCGGTAAGCCGGGCGCGCGCCCACTGCAGCCTCTGTCCATCTGTCCGTCTGTCTGCCGCATGCTGTCCGTATGTCCCGGGCCCCGCCGCCCGGCGCGCCTTGGCGCGGTCCCGTGACTCCCCGGGAGCAGGCGGACTTGGTTCGCGTGTTCGTGTGACGGTCTGGGCTGTGGCCAGGACGGGGAGCGAGGAAGTAGAAGGACACCTTGACCTCTTGCCCCGGCCACGACCTTTCCCTGCCTCCATCCGCCCCCAGTTGCCCAGCTCTGGCTTCGTCGGAGGCGCTGGGAGGCGCGTCACGTGCCGGGCGGGGGTCCCCTCACTGGCTCCCCAAGTGCAGCCTGTTTGAAAACGGCCCTGAGAGCTGACAGAGCAAAATCGCCTTCTCGTGTTGAGTGCCCACTTCATGCCTGGCAGCCTCAGAACAGGCGGGCAGGGACCGAGTAAACGAGGCAGTTCTCGGTCCAGTGGCAGAAACGTCTGGGGAGAAAGGCTTCCCTCCTCCCGCCAGGAGCCCAGGGAAAGAGGGCTGAAGGGGCATAGAACCCGTGGAGCATGCCCTATAGCCCTTCTGATGCACCTCGGGGCGTCCATCCATATGCCCCCCACCCACACGTCTGTCCCAGCAACTGTGGCCCCTCCAGGGTGGGAAGAGGATGCAGGGAGACAGTAGGTGGGAGCGTGGGGACGCTGGAGGCACAGGAAGCTTGGCCAAATTGACAAGCACCGGTCTCCAGAGCAGGGGAGTGGTCAGCCAACCGGTTAAGGGGCTTAAGGAGAAATGCAGAGGATCAGGCGAACAGGGAGAGAGGGGTGTGTGTGTGTGTGTGTGTGTGTGAAGGCCATCCACTTCTTCTCACTGCCCCCCACCATCCAATCCCATACCCTTCTAGGCTGGGATCCTTTGGGGGGGGGGACTTGGCCTGAGAGCCACAGCGTGACCCTGGGTTGACTGTGGTTCAGTGGTGAAAAAGGTGGAGGGATAGCATGGAAGTGGTACCGGCCACTGCAGCCCAGAAGAGCTGGACCTAGAACATTCTCCTCTATTCTCCACTAGGAGGAGGGGCTCTTTCTGGGGTTTTGCAAGGCTGGGTGGTGGGGTTCAGGCTCCCAGAAACCAGCTCCCTTAGCTCAGAGGCCAGCGCCATGGACAAGCCAGTCTCCCTCCCTGATCGTTTGCTTCCACATCTGTGGAATGGGGCCGTTCGTCCCTGCCCCACTGACCTCCAAAGGACTTCAGGGTTCACATGACTGTGCAGAGACTGTGGGAAGTGCTGGGCAGATGGAAATATGGACTTGTTTTACCTTTGCGGGGGTGAGCAACTAATGTGGCAGAGGTGGGGGGATTAGATCTGAAGTAGAGAACCCTTGAGGGTACAAGTGTCTGGGAACTAGAGGGTATGAGGGGTTTGAGAGTCCCTTGAAAAGTCTTTAGGGCAACTAGGACAGACCTTGAATTTCAGCTGGGTGACCTTGGGCAGGAAGCTTGACCTCTCTGAGCCTCAGTTTCTCCATCTGGAGAATGGGGATGATGGTCTTGACTTCCTAGGGGTGTTGAGCTGTTTCCAGCCAACATCAGAACTCTGAGAGCAGCTTGGAGGAGCCTGACGAGTAATAGGTTCGTAACAGACATCTGCGAAACCGAGAGCGAAGCAATCTCCCAGGAAGCTGCAGAAAAATGCCGCTTCGACTTCGACGGATGAGCGGGAAAGGGAGGAGGATCCTTGTAGGCTTACAGGGCGTGCTGGTTCTTAATGTGGATCTGGGGGAGGCGGGGGCGAGTGCCGAGGGGGGTGTGAGGAGGAGGGGGCCCCTCTGCAGGGACCACTGAGTCACGAGGACATGTAAGCGACATGACAACCGGCAACATGGTAACCAGGAGACTAGTGACGGTGGGAAACGGAGCTGGAGCAGTGTGTTGGGGGGTGGAGGGGCAGCGGGTCTGGCAGCACCAGGATGGAGGGTCCCCAGAGTAGCTAGGATGGGCCTCGGAGTGGGGAGAGGAGGCCTGAGGCCAGGTGAGCCGGGGAGGGGTGGGTGGCCGGAGCCGAGGGCCCTCCAGGGTCTCCTGGGCAGGGGGCTTCTCCTGCGCCTCCCCAGGCTCCTTGCTTGTCTCCTCCACAGCTCCACTTTTCATGCCTCTCCCCCTAGGATGCCAAATTTGGCTCACGCAATCTGTCGTCTCTCTTCTGAGATTGGCACCGGGACCAGAGCTGAGTGCATTACATCACCACCGCTCCCCCCTGCACGAGGGGAGAAGGAGCGGGGTGGGGGGACAGAGAGGGGTGGGCAAGCGGCCAACCTGAAACTTTCTTCCCTGTCATCCTGCTTGCTCATCCCCCTCAGTCCCAGGAATGGGGGGCTCCTGGGGGCAGCCGCTTGGCTGTGTCCTGGAGGCGGGACACAGGGCTTCGATCTTGAGGAGATCCTGGGGCCAGCTAGAAGTCAGGCCATGTTGCTGTCCCCTTGGCTGGGGGTGTCTAGGGGCTGCATTCAGGACTAGGGCCCCTCTCTGACATTGCCTTGCCCTGTGACCTTGGGCGGGTTCTGTCCCCTCTCGGTGCAGAATGCATATCTGTACAGAGAACAGCTGGCCACTTGGGAGCCTGGGGCTTGTGCCTTTGAGTCCCTCTGCACTTCTGGGCCCTGTCGAGGGAGCTGGGATTTCCAGTCTCTCTGTGACCTTGAGTGGGCAATTTCCATTTTCCTCACCTGTAAAATGGGATGAATGAGCCCTCAAAGATAACTCCAATGGCATGAGACAGGAGAGTGGAGGACAGGAGAGAGATGACCAGATACTCAGGGAATGTTCAGGGTGTAGGGCGCTGGGGTTGACTCATTCAGACAGAAGGTATAGGACTTACATGCCCCCATTTTACCCACATGGAAACCCCACAGACAGAGCGGAGACTTGCACACACACCGTGGGACACTGCTGAAAATCCAGGCCCCAGAGGTTTGTGGGCCACTTTGTGGCTTGGGTTACCTTCCTTCTCCTTCCCTGCTCCTCAGTCTCTGTTCCCCTTGGGCATGCCAAGCTCAGAGAGGGTGAGGAACTGATTTGAGGTCACATAGGAAGCCACATCCAAGGCTTCTGTTTCCAAGTGGTTCCTCCTGCCTGATGGGTCCCGCACAAAGGTTCCCCTAAGTTTGGTTCCCTCTGCAGTCCTCAGCTCTCCATCCTCCTTGGGGAAAATCTCACCTTCCATTTGGTCTATCTGAGGAATCCTGTTCCGTCCTCTTTCTATAGCCAGTTTGAGACAGACTAAGGCACGAATAATCAGAATTTGTAGTGAAGCTGGAAGTTCATGGTCCCTTCTAGAACGTTCCAGGGCTGGAAGTCGAGACTGATGGGCATAGTCGTGGGCTCCTCATACTCAGAGCTGTTCTAGCAGATCCAGAGAATCACTTGCCAGGAATCTTGTCTTCTGTGGGGAGAGATTGAATGACACCCCACCTCCTAAATCCCAGGATCCTTTGCTATCCCTCACGATGAAGCCAGAAAGCAGCCTCCATCACTGCCCGCTTCCCAGCTAGGAGCTCACGCCATCGCGTGGGGCACTGGACTTCTGCAAGTGCCATCTCGCATCCTCCCAGCCTCCGAGAGGTTCATGCGGGTGCCCACGTCACACGTGGGGAGCCCCACTCTCCGAGAGCCTGCTTGGTGTGCCCAAGGTCACACAGCAGCGAGGCGGGGATTTGATTCCAGGCCAGTCAGATCGTCAGGGCTGTCCCTGGAACTTCCTGGAAGAAGAGTGGGAGACGTTCCTCCCCTGGATTGGGGCTTGGCAGGAGATGGGTCTGGTCGCCCCCACAGCATGACACCTTTCGGGATCCTCTAGGGGGCTCCATTCTGAAGATGCAGCTAGAGACAAGCGGGCATGGAGAAAATGGGCTTTGGGGATGGAGAGATGAGTGCAGAACGCGGGTGGCCTGGTCCAAGCAGCCTAGGACGTAGAGAGGCTGGCTGGTGGTCCAGGGCTGCTGGCTCCATTTACTGCACAGTAGACAAGGAGGGGCCTTCGGACTGATGTGAGGTCCAGGACGAGAATGCAGGTTGTCCCTATCATTGGAGAACAGCACTGTATGAGTCCTGGCTGTGGGTCAGGCTTGGGGAGCAGGGAGAGGGTAAGAAAACTGCAGGGCCAGAACAGGCCCTTGTCCCCAGGGCACCCACTGATGTCAAAGCCTACGGCCTGAATGGACTCAGGTTTGGTTGGTAGGGGACAGTGCCCGCCCACTGAGGTCAGGGGAGCCTTTGTGTGTGGCCTGTCTTGCCCTGGCAAGAGGAGCTGCCTGAAGACAGTAGCCTTGCTTGTGGTCTCCTGTGTGACCTCGTGTCTTTTCCTCACCCTCTCTGAGCTTGGCACGCTCAAATGCCGGAGTCTGGATGCAGTGATTTGTTTGGCTGGCATCTCCACTTGCTTTTCCATCGTCTCTGGGACCCTAGGCCCAGGGCTGGGGCGGGTGGGAATCTGGGGGCTGGTGTAACCTTTAAAGCCTCCCCTCCCGGGGCAGGCGACTCAGCGCTCTTGGGGTGTGGGGGATCTCCGGGCACAGCCCTTCTTCTCCTTTTCATCTTTATTTTTTTTTTCTCCTGCTCCCTCTTCCCCTCGCTACGTGGGCTGATCGCTGCTCAAACTTTTAATTCAGATGGTAATTGAAATAATAATATGGGCTGAGGCCCCTGGCTTGTGACGCTGCAGCTGGTGGAGCTCTGCTATGAATAGACCTTGAGTCACACACGCGCGCTCCTGCGGGCAGGCGCGCGCACGGCGCTTGCGGGGCGGTGGGCGGGATGCGGCGTGGGGGGCAGGGGTGGGCTCACGCTCCAGCTCGCCCTGAGTCGTGGCCCCCCACTCCCGAAGGCTTCGGAGGGTTCTGCTACTGCCGCACACTGTTGTCCCTGCGGGGAGCCTGGGGGGGGTTACTTAAGAATCAGTGATTCTCCCCGTTTTACAGAAGGAGACACTGAGGGCCATCAAGGGGACTGGCGGGCTCAAG